ATGAAAATGTTTTATATACCCAATATGGTAGCATTTGAAATAGAGCTAGTATGACTGAGAAACTTAATTAATTCTCTTTCACCAATTAAAAATATAGTCACATACAGCTAGTGGCTACTGTATTGAACAGCACAGCTCTCCAGTCTCCACCACCCAACAAACTGCTCTTGTGATTTACATCCTAATTTCCAAAGCCAGTCAATATGGTTTGGTTGTCAGCTTCTTTAATCTTTCTCTGGAATTTGATTGACTGTCTCCTTAACTTTATACACTCTTTCTTTGGAATCTGTGCCTTCACTGTCTCCTGATTCTTAAGTTTTCTGTTGTCTTTTCTGTGGATGGTATCGATGGTTTTAGACGTCTGTACTTGGCTCTCTTCAGCTCTTACATTCTCTTAAAGTACACTTTAGCTATTCATTCAACAGTTACAGAGTATCAGTTTTTTGGTGCTAGAAAAAGACTTACGCTCTCTTTCAAGAAACTCCCCTGGCCTCAACTGGCATTAGTGCTAAAGATTATAAAATTGATCCTTCCCGTACTTCCGTTTATTTCTTCAGAAGTTCAGACTCATTTACTTAACTTCCTATTGATGGCTACTTCTGGCTGTCTCATGAGTGGCTCACATGACTACCTACTACTTATCTCTACTCCCAGTACCTTCCTCCTTGAAATATATAAAAGTAAAAAACCTTCCACCTATCACTCTTCACATTATCATAGATCTGCTTCTTAATTACAGTATCCTCCCTTATCATTGTGGGATACGTTTCAAGATCCTCCGTGGATACCTGAAACTCAGAGAGTACTGAACCCTGCATATGCTATGTTTTACCAATCCGATAACTGAGGGCTTCTAAGTGACTAACAGGTGGGTAGTCTATGAAGATTGATTTTGGGATAAAGGGAGGATTTATGTCCTGGACAAGACAAAGCAGGATGGCACAAGATCTCTTCACTCTACTCAGAACAGCATGCAGTTTAAAACTTAAGAATTGTTTGTTTCTGGAGTTTTTCATTTAATATTTTTGGAATGCAGTTTACAGCAGGTAACTGAAACCTCAGATAAAGTGGGGACTACTGTACTTGAAAAGCCTCTAATGTCATCTTTCTTTCACACATCTTGTCACATTTATCGTCCTGGTTCTCAGTAGCAGGAACCCAACGCATCGATTAGTAATCATTTTTCTCTTCTTGATACATCCAGAGGATCCAATTTCTACTTGTAGCTCTTTCCCTCTTAATTTATTGGTTGATATCTCAGCTCCCTGAAAGAGCTCTTCATGATCTCCTTTCAGGGTGAACACTCTATACCCTAGCTGTGCTAAGCCAATAGCATTTCCCCCAAACACCATTTCCTTTTCCTTTTCTTTATTTTCCTAGAGAGAACTTACTAGCTCTAACACCATTTTCTACGACTGCTTTCTATAGGCAAAGTCAGAAGAGTAGTTTCTCCTCTTACCATTATCATCACTATAGCGGACTTAGATTAAATGCATCCTATGTGGCAGGCACTATTCTGAGTGTTCCATATTATCTTACTTAATTCTTAAACAGCACAGTCAGATGTAGGTATTGAAACCGAGGCACAGAAGTTTTAAGAAATCCTTTTTCTTTTTTTCACTTTTATATGATTATTTTTGAAAAAAAAAATTTAATAGATTTTATTTTTTGGAGCTGTTTTAGAAAACCTACAACAGCATTGAGAGTTCTTACATACACCTTCTCCCTACACAGTTTCCCCTATTATCAACATTTTATATTACAGTGGTATACTTATAATTGATGAACCAATATTGATATATTAATATTAACTAAAGTCCATAGTTTACATTAGGATTCACTCTTTGTCTCCTACAGTTCTGTGAATTTTGACAAACGCATAATGTATTATTCAGTATCATGCCATATAGTACCATACAGCGTAATTTCCTCTTTCTAAAAAATGTCCTGTGTTCCACCTGTTTGTGCCTTCCCCTTCCCCCAGCAACTGTTGATCTTTTTAGTGTCTACGTGTGTGTGTTTTTTTTAAACCAGAATGTCGTGTAGTTGGAATCATAGTGTATAAGCCATTTATTTTCAGACTGGCTTCTTTCACTTAGGATTCCTTCATGTGGTTTTGTGGCTTGATAGCTCATTTCTTTTTAAGAAAAATATTCCATTGTATGAGTATACTGCAGTTTGTCGATCTATTCAGTAAAGAACATCTTGGATGCTTCCAGTTTTGGGCAGTTATGAATAATTTTGATGTAAAGATTTGTATGCAGGTTTTTGTGTGGACATAAGTTTTCAACTTATTTGGCTAAATACCTAGCAGTGGGATTGCTGGATTGTATGGTAAGACTGTATTTTGCTTTGTAAGAAATTGCTGGACTGTCTACCAAAGTGATTGTACCATTTTGCATTCCCACCAGCAACGAAGGAGAGTTGTTGGCTCTACGTTTTTGACAGAAATTGGTATTGTCAGTGTTTTGGATTTTAAGTGTTCTAATAGGTCTGTAGTGGTATCTCACTACTCATGATTGTTTTAATTTTTAGTTTCCTAATAATAAATGATGTTGAACATTTTTCCTATGTTCATTTGCCATGTGAATGTCTGCTTTGGTAAGGTGCTCATTCAGATTTTTTGCCTTTTTTATAATTGGGTTGTTTCTTAGTTTTGTGTTATAAGTTCTTTCTTATTTTGGATACCAGTTTTTTATCCCATATGTGTTTTACAAATATTTTCTCCTAGTCTGTAGCCTGTTTTTTCATGCCCTTAGCAGTGTCTTTTACAAAGCACAGATTTTTAAATTTTAATGAAATCCAATTTATTAGGTTTTTTTTCTCGAATTGTTTTGATGTTATTGTTGTATTGGATCGAGCGTAGAAAGTTAGCACCAAGACAAAAGTATGCCAGATTGCAGGGTCATTTATTATGCCGGCGACCACAGAGGACTCACGTCTCTCCAACCTGTGGCCTCAAAAGGAGGGTGCCAAGACTTTTTATACCCGAAAAACCACTTTGGGAGTGGGGGTGAAGAGCGGGGATGGGGATGAAAAGGTTTCGGACATTCCAAGGGCTAGGGGATTCTGTGATTCACCTCCTGGGCAGAGACAAGGTCGGGGGTCTCCGGACATTCCAAGGTCTAGGGGACTTTTGTCATTCTGTTTGTTACTTCAGTGGTTTACAGAAGTCAAGATACACATTTGTTTACACATTGTCTGGGTGGTGATAGAAGTCACAGATTTTAGCAGTTACTGATAAGAAAAGGTAAGCAGCTTTACATAGTTTTGCAGAACAAACTAGCAGTTCTATTTACAGAGGCCAAGAACAGTAGTTATTGTGAGGAGAATGGGGCAGCCATTGCAACTTATTTAAAAACAGTTTTGCATTTTATAAAAATAGCGTTGCTCAGGTTCTGGCTCCAGGCCAGCACAGTATCACATTATATTTAAAAGTCATCACCAAACTCAAGATCATCTAGATTTCTCCTCTGCTATCTTCTATAAATATTATAGCTTGGCATTTATATTTAGGCCTAGGATCCATTTTGAGTTAACATCTTTTTGAAAGGTATAAGATCTGTGTCTAGATTATTTATTTTGCATATAGATATCCAGTTCAAGCACTGCTCAACTTGAAGTTCAGTGAAGTCTTGAACTTAACTGTTAAGTTGAAGACTGTCTTTTCTCCATTGAATTACTTCTGCTCTGGTTTTTTTTTTTTTGTTTTTTTTTTGAGACGGAGTTTCGCTCTTGTTACCCAGGCTGGAGTGCAATGGCGCGATCTCGGCTCACCGCAACCTCCGCCTCCCGGGTTCAGGCAATTCTCCTGCCCCAGCCTCCTGAGTCGCTGGGATTACAGGCACGCGCCACCATGCCCAGCTAATTTTTTGTATTTTTAGTAGAGACGGGGTTTCACCATGTTGACCAGGATGGTCTCGATCTCTTGACCTCGTGATCCACCCGCCTCGGCCTCCCAAAGTGCTGGGATTACAGGCTTGAGCCACCGCGCCCGGCCGCTTCTGCTCTGTTTTTAAAGATCAGTGTACTATATTGGTATGGGTCTGTATCTGGACTGTCCTGTCCTTGATCTTTCTCTCTGTTCTTCTGCCAGTGGCATACAGTCTTGATTACTGTAGCTTTCCAGTAAGGCATTTTGCTTGTTTAGAGACAAAATCTCACTCTCACGCCCAGACTGGAGTGCAGTGGCATGATCTCGGCTCACTGCAGCCTCCACCTCCCATGTTCAAGTGATTCTTCTGCTTCAGTCTCCTGAGTATCTGGGACTACAGGCATGAGCCACCATGCCTAGTCATTTTTGTATTTTCAGTAGAGACAGGGTTTTACTGTGTTGGCCAGGCTGGTTTCAAACTCCTGACCTCAGGTATCTGCCTGCTCCCGTCTTACAAGGTGCTGGGATTACAGGCATGAACCACCTTTATAGTAAGTTTTTAAATTGGATTGTGTCAGTCTTTTGATTTTTTTCCGTTTTTTTCTTCCATATGATATTCAGTGTTACGCGTTTCCTGCCTTTCTATATGAACTTTAAAATCAGTTTGTCAGTATTCACAAAATTAATTACTGAGATTTTCATTGAGACTATGTTGAAATTTTTATAGGTCAAGTTGGGAAGCACGTATATTTTAACAGTATTGACTCTTCCTGTCAATATGAAATACCTCTCTACTTAAATCTTATTTATATGTTACTTATATTGATTTATATTGATATATTTATGTAGTTTATATTTTATTTACATTCTATTTATTTATATTGTCTTTCATTGGTATTTTATAGTTTTCCTCATACAAATCTTATATATATTTTGTTAGATTTATACTTAAGGATTTTTTTTTTCAGTGCTAATATACATAGTGTTGTATTTTAATTTCAAATTCCATTTGTTCATTACTGGTACATAGGAATTAATTGACTTTTGTATATTAAAAAATCTTGTATCCTGCACCCTTGTATGCTGCAACCTTGTTATAATCACTTATTTGTTCCAGTGGTTTTTATGTGTTATTTAGAAGTGTGTTGTTTAATCTCCACATATTCTGAGATTTTTCAGCTAGCTTTCTGTTGTTTATTTCTAATTTAATTCCATTGTGATCTGAAAACATACTTTATATGATATCTATTACTTCAAATTTAAGGTTTTATGGCCCAGAATGTGGTCTAACTTGGTTAATAAGCCATGAGAACCTTAGAATAACATAAAGAGTTGAAAACAGGATTTACTGGACCCAAATCAAGGTGTCTACAGCACTGCATTTCCTCTGGAGGCTCTTGGGAGTATATGTTCTCTTGCCTCTCCGAGTTTCTAGAGGTCACCGACTTCCTCAGGAGCTGGAATTACAGATGTCTGCCACCACACCCAGCCAATTTTTTGTATTTTTAGCAGAGATGGGGTTTCACCATGTTGGCCAGGCTGGTCTTGAACTCCTGAACTCAGGTGATCCACCCACCTCCGCATCCCAAATTGCTGAGATTATAGGTGTTAACCACCGCACCTGGCCACTAAACAGAATTTATTATCTGATCATGATTCAAACAAACAAATCTAAAGTTTGGGGCTCAGAAACTGTTTTCTTCCGAATACATGAACAAAGTCATTGATATGCCTTGTTTAGCATTTGTTCTTATTCTCATCTCTAGTCTGATGTCCTTTGAGTAGACTGCCTTACACTGACAAATGCCATGCCAAACTTCTACATTCAGTAATGTGGTATGTTAATGTTTTCCTTCTTATTCAACTTTTCAGCAAATCTCAAAGATAGAGGTTTAAATGGCCTCTGGCAATAGCGACAATGCAAGGGCGAGAGAGGTTTGACTGTAATACTGTGTCTCTGTTTTAGATGTCATCATCATCATAATTCTGCCAACTCAGTCAGATTAAGTATTTGGTTAATTATTTTCATTCTCAGCTAACCAAATGCGCTTTACCTTTTTAGGTTTACCGACAAGACTGTGAAACTTTCGGGATGGTGGTGAAAATGCTGATCGAAAAAGATCCTTCATTAGAAAAGTCTATACAGTTTGCATTGAGGCAGAATTTACATGAAATAGGTGAGCGGTGTGTTGAAGAACTCAAGCATTTCATTGCAGAATATGATACTTCCACTCAAGATTTTGGAGAGCCTTTCTAGATTTTTTTGCACAGGCAAAAAATAAAGGTCTCTAAAATTATTTTCTTCCTGGATTGTGTAAATCCTTAATACATGGATTTTTTGTGATGCAGAGAATTACATTATGATAGTTGACCACATTTTAATATTATGTAAAAATCTAAAATACTCTGCTTAAAATATTTAATTAGAATTTTTGTATTTTTTGTAGAGACAGGGTTTCACCGTGTTGGCCAGGCTGGTCTCTAATTCCTGGTCTCAAGTGATCCGCCTGCCTTGGCCTCCCAAAGTGTTGAGATTACAGGCATGAGCCACTGTGCCCTGCCAACACATGATACCACGTGAAAATATTAGAATTCTGAGTTGTGATTTTATTTACTTGCTTGCTTTTTCTTAGGCTTTGTAACTTGTCATATGTTAAAGTGTACTATCCTAATAAACTGAATACTTTGGTATCTTAGAGAATATTTGCTTTGAGAATAATTCTCATTCAATGATAAAACAGAGCACTTAATTCTCTGATAGACACCTCAGAAAAAATCCGTTTTTCCAAGTAATGAACTCAGTGTCTTTTATTACAATAATCCTGAAATTCCTGGTGTTTTCACTGATGTATATCTTAAATAATACCATATACAAGACTAATAAATAGAGGTAATTTGAGGTGGAAGATGAGGGATATTTTAAGTTTGGGACTTCTCAAAAAAAATTTGATCAAAAGGAAAATTTTGGAATATGCCTGGAATAGTGGAATTTTATTTATAAAAAAATTTTTTTTTATTGGCTCATACTTTGCATTTCAGGAAACAAGGTGATTGTAACATGTCCATGATTAAACTATTAGCAGATTATTCCTGTGTTAATCTCTGTATTCTAATGAGTTCTTTGTTCTGTTCTGCTGCTTTTTAGAGGTTCTTGTTTTTTCAAAAGTGTTCTTGAAAGAAACAAAGTGAGTTGGCAGTTAGATAGCACAGCTACCGCTTACCAAGCAGTCTATGGAAACAACCCCTCATCCAAATCACGGGTTATTTAAGACTCTAACTGGGACAATTAGGATATTCCACTCATTTCCTGCTCACTTCAGCAGCCCAGTGACATTGAGCCAAAATATACAATTCTGTGTTATTAGTGAGGAAACTTTAAAAATCATGTTTGTTATTACTACCTAATTTCAATATCCTCCCATCCTCTTTCCATTTCTCTTCTCTCTCACTTGAATTCTGGCATTATTTTTAGTGGCGTTGACTGATAAACCTACCCTAGAGCACATAAAATTTATATTAAAAGTAGAAGTAGCAGTATGTATAATTTTAACAAATCCTATAACAGGTGCCTCAAAATACGTATTGTGTCATTCCACAAATTTGAAAACTGAGGACAATAATTATTTTTTTAGTTTTCTAAATGAGACCACCTTGGGTTTTTATTTTTGCCATTTAGATGTTATACTTATTTAACTTTTATAAAACGTAAGCCAAGCTAAATCCCACATAATAACTCTTGGTATTCTTCCTTCATATGAGCAGTGATTTTGTTACCTGTAGGAGATTGGTCAGGGTGGTGGGAGAAATTGTAGGGAGAGAATGTAAATCTTTTTGAAAGATCTGAAGGTTTGCAAAAGCTTCAGGAGAGAATAAAAGCTGAAGGCAGCTAATTCTCTTACCCTGAGGCTAAGGGCAAGTGGTAGGCAACAAGGGAGTATAAAGGAATTAATCTAGATAAGTTTGTTTGCTTATGTCTCCGGAAACCAACCTTTGATCATCCACGTGCAAGACTGCTCCCTGGAAAGAGGGGGCAACAATGTTAATTACCCGCAAATTGTGTTGGCTCCAGGCCTTTGTCATTAAATCTATACTGAGTAAATACCAGCGGCTCTGGCTTATGGGACTGCTCTCTCTTTGGCGACACTAAGCTGACAGTCCCCTAGCGCTCTTTCACAGCCTGCCTGTGTCTGAGTATTTCTTTCATTCGTCGCTCGGCCAGAGTCTGCAGGACAGACTCAGCAGCTGGCGCCCCATGTGACGAACGCTGCAACGGATCATGACGGAACCCTCAAAAATGAAGGTGAAGAGACTACACAGTCAGTAAGTCATTGGTCCTGCTCGGGATTTCCAAGTTTGGGGGAGTTTTCAAGCTAGGGCTTATCATGAGTCAACAGTTATCCGCACAACAGAAACAGTATATAAAAGTATTAAAACAACTGCTTAAAGCTAGCGGAGCCTGTTTCACAGGCTCAATTAGGGGAGCGAATGCAAACTGTTGTTCCCTATAACCCATAGTTCCCAGAAGAAGGCATGCTGGACCTAGAGCTCTGGGAACAAGTGGGGAGAAACCTTAAATGATAACATGTACAAGGACAATGGGTCCCAGTAACATCTTCGATGTTATGGACCTTAGTTAGGACTACTTTGGCCCTGCTCTACACAGAAGAGCCTAAAAAGGGAAGGGAGGAGGAACCATCACCTACGTTATGGCCTCCTCCTCCTCCTCCCTGAGCCTCCTCCCTCAATAAATTGGGGAAAAGGCAAGGGTACACTACAGCTATGGGACCCTGTCTTAGGCAAGTGGCATTAGAAGGGGAACTCTTGGCCTGCCTGGTAATGCATGTTCAACAAGGCAATCAGGTATACAAACCCATTTCTTTCAACACTTAGAAAGAGATAAGGAAAAGCGTTAAAGAAAATGGAGCTGCTAGCCCATTTACGAGAGGATTAATTGAGGCCATAGCAAACAGTTTCCATATAACACCATAGGAATGGTGAGTGCTAGCTAAAACAACTTCAGAGGACCGTCAATACCTCCTCTGGAAGGCAGAATTTAATAAATTATGTGAACAGCAAAACCCTTTCTAATAATAGCCACTGTTACTATTCCTCCGCTACATGGCTCTCTCAAAATTCAGTTTAGGTAAAACAGCAGCCTTTAAAGGGAGAAAAATTACAACAAGACCATGAATTAGTTGAGGAACAATTAAAAGCTGGCCATGTAGAACCATCAGACAGCCCTTGGAATTCTCCCATTTTCATCATTCCCAAAAGGTCTGGCAAATGGAGACTTTTGCATGACTTATGAGCTATCAGTGCTAATTTGCAACCTACGGGGCCCCTTCAACAGGGGCTCCGTTCCCCCACGGTGATTCCTTGAGATTTGCCTATAGTTGTTTTTTGACTTTAAAGAATGCTTTTATATTATTCCCCTTGCAGAACAGGACAGAGAAGAATTTGTGCTTACGATACCAGCTATCAATAATGAAAGACCAGCTTGCCAATTTCATTGGATAGTACTTCCTCAAGGAATGCTAAACAGTCCTACCATGTGTCAGTATCATGTAAATCAGGCTTTGCTCCCCCAGAAGAAAAGAATTTCCTAATTGTAAGATTATTTATTTTCCGAATGACATTTTACTAGCAGCCCCAACAGAGCCAGTACATTTTAGTTTATATGCCTGTCATAAAAAATACAGTTAAGAGGTTTAATCATAGCACCTGAAACAATACAGATGTCTTCCCCTTGGAAATATTTTGGCTACATACTAACATCCCAGTCAGTAAGACCGCAAAAGGTTACATTAAATACTAGCAACTTACACACCTTAATGATTATCAAAAATTACTGGGCAATATTAATTGGCTTTGCCCACCTTGGTCATAACTACTGACAAATTACAGAACCTGTTTTCTGTCCTAAAGGGCAGTACAGTTCTGGACTCTCCCAGGTATTTAACCCCCACAGCAAAGAAATAGAGTAAGCTATTTCTCAGAGGCAACTAGAATATATAGACCCACAATATTAAACATTCCCCAACAGGATTAATAGGACAGATGGCCCCAGGGCTGCGCTTCCTAGAATTGGTTTTTTGCTCACATACCAGGACTAAAACACTATCTCCCTATATCTAGCTAGTGAGTAAAGTCATCTGTATGGGCTGCAGACAATGCAGTTAGTTGCTAGGTAATGACCCTGATGTCATAAGAATTCTTCTGAGTGAAAAACAATTTGAAGCAGTACTGTCCTTATCTCTAGGCCTTCAGATAGCACCTCTGATTGTGCAGGCCATATAGGACATGCCCTTCCTGCTGACATACTACTCTAGTTCTTATCTTGTACTCCTGTAGTTGTGCCTACAAAGGTAGCTCACTCACCCATACCTAATACTATAACACTTTTTACTG